TCTACTTTTCATGTGTCTACTCTTCCTATTTACAGATAGGAACAAGTAGAGAAAATCATGGAAATTAGTATGATTTTCAGAAAAATATATGCTCTCCCACCTCACTTTCAAAGGTAAAACTTGACATGGATGTTGAGGACTTGAATAGAAATGGAAGTAACAATTTCCTGATTTCTATTTCTCAAATGCATTCTGAGATCCTTCTCATGTCCCCAAATTTGATCCAGGTGTTATATCCTGAAGTTGCTTAGCCTTGGTAGGCTTTTCTCATTGGGTGAATTACCACCAAGATTAGCAAGTATCATTAAAATTATTGTGATGGATAAATTCAGTTGTAGTTATCATTATGGTTTATCTACTTTCCCTGCTCATTTGTATTAACACATTATGGTAAGACCACAAGTAACTGTCTCTAGTTGAAAAAGAAAAAAAAGAAATGTTAAATGGACTCTGAGAGAGCATTGTCTCATATATCTATTATGTACCTTCACTTGTGATACCAAATAAGCAGTTTATAGGGCAGAGATGCCTCAGCAATGTTGAGTATATAAGTCACACATCGGTTGGACTAGAAAGGGTTTTGAAATTCTTTCAATCCAACTCAAACCAATACTAATTTAGGAATAAGCAGTATCCTCTTTTTTGGACAAATTTTGTCTATCATGTCCATATGTGTTTTCTAAAGACTTTTATTTGGTGTTTTAGACTCTTAATGTGAATTGCTGCATTTCATCAAGTAACTGCCACAGGTCCCAGCCCAAACATCACATTTTTGATGACTCTGTGACCAATAATCAAGATTTAAAAACAAAACAAAAATCTAGCCATCAGTCAAAAGTTTGTCTGTTGGTCTACTTTCTGAAGGGCCAGCAAATAAGTTGCAGATGGATCAGTATTTACAGTTCCCTGACACGTCCTGAAGCCTTGGTGGATATTTCCTTCAGTGTCACCACAACACAGCATTTAAGTCTTCCATTTAAAAGGAGCCCCTCCTTAAGAGAGAGTAGGAGGAAGGGGGATGCACATGAAGCCATAGGAGTGTGAGTGGCTCAGCAAGTGAAGGTTGCTGTTCATTGTTACAAAGGGTGGAATGACAGAGAGATTTGTGTTTGTCTGCATTGACTGTGGCCAGCCACACTGGCTTCCTTTCAGCTTCTCCTTTCTCTCCTCAGAGACTTGTCCTGCCAGTGACACTCTGACCTGAGTCTTCAGGTGGACACTGTCCTCCCATTCTATGGGACTTGGCCCAAATATCACCTCCTTACAGGCAGTTTTTCTGACCATCTTCTCCAAGCAGATGCCTCTTACTCCTTTTTGCCATTGCACTCACTTATTTTCTTCACATCATCTTTTGCAAGTTCTGTGTATGTAGACTTTAAAAAAATGAGCAATCATCCCTTTTAGGCTATAACTTCAGGAGTCCATGTCTGTTTGGTTCTTCACTGTTCATTTACTACAGAACATTGCACATAGCACTCAGTAAATGTTTATTAAATAAATGTTGAATGAAGGGTTTTATGGAATGAAAGTATTCCCCACCTTAGGTCCTTCTATCTCTCTGATTAATGTTTGTTATTTATGATAACTTTTCAAAATTAATTAAATTTAACAAAATTACTATGTTATATGTCATTTTTGTGGAAAGCATTGTCTTCCCATCTTCAAAAACAAAACAATCAGCCTCAGAGTTTCTTTTGGAAAGAGAACTTTTCCTCTAGAAAAATAGCTATGTAGGCCACTTCAGCTGGGTTAGGAGAAACACCGAGGGCATGGCTTATACCATTAAAATGGAACAATGCTGCTAGGTGCAATGTTCAACTGAATATGTTCATCTTAATCTGTGGTTCGAAGAGGGAGCCATGCCAGGGTGGTGGGACTCTGAAACCTTCTAAGAAAGGACTTAACAATTAAACAGATGAACAGTTTCTGGAAGCAGGGTAGTCAAAATCTTTAGAGAGCATGAACTGACATAAATTGCTTTTATAGCATCAAACTTTGGAAAAATCTGTGGCTCTCTTTTGGGGCCTTAAACTCTGGAGTGTTGGTTTCTCATTTTTGCTGTCATTGAGAATGTGACTCATATATCTGCACCTTTTTCAAAGCCAGCCAAGTCTGGGGAAACACCTGCTAAATATAAAATCCACACACTTAAGGGCATTTACTTTTCTCAATACACCAAACATGCAGTTAAGAAGTGAATGTCATGAAATGGACATTTGAAAAAACCATCCCTTCCTTGAGATGTAAATATTAGTAAGGAAAACTCATTTGTTTTACCTTTTTGGTTTGAAAATTATAGGTGAGTAATACCTTGTTAAAATATATAAATTCATAAATTATCGTTATTGTCAAGCCACACATATAATTATGCTTTTGCTTATACAAAATGAGCCTGATTGTATGCTTACAGTTCTGTGGGCTTGATGGCTTTCCCTCTCAAACCTCAGAGGAAAGAAAATTCTCCTCCAGCTACCATTTTGCAAAAAAAAGTCTTTCTTTGAGATGCCTATAATATATGGCTGCACAACAGATTAAAGGAGAGCTTTCGAAATGGGTTTAGAGCAGGTTCATCTCTGGTTTTTCAGCTGAGTTTATATACACATAAATTCTTTTGAATTATTTAGTATTGCTTCAGTTGTCCAGTGTTCTGCCCCAGGATTATTTATGTTCAGCTGAGCTTCAAGAAAGAAATGTACAAGGAGATGGTGATGATTAGAGGAAAAGAGCACAGGATTTGTGCTTTGGAATCAGACACAAGGGGATGGCTTAGTCATGTTGCTTAACATCTATGAAAATCATTTTGCTTAGCTGTAGAACAGATTTATTTAGGATCACTTCTGCTACATGAGGTCCTGTGGTTTAGATGGCAAATAATGGTATATTTTGAGAGCTGAATGGTTACAGTATGAAAATTAACTTTTAGACTATGCTTATTCTCATACGTTTATCTGCAGCTCTCTGCATGAAACATCTTTCTCTTTCCTGTTTATTTACTTGGTTAAATTTTTGTCCTTCAAAGTGCATTTCCCTTGACAGAGAGCCTTTTCTGACTTGCTGGTGTCTATTACATGCCCCTTATTTCATGTCCAGTTTCTTGACTTAACATAAAATATTAAAACTTTTTCTTGACTTGCCATTTCCTCCATTGGTCTCTGAGTTCCATGAAGGTGGGAATCTTACTTTTTAAAATCATTTAAACCTCCATGTCAATTACAAGCATCATTCTGATGAAGAGTTGTCTCTCAATAAATATTGATCTAATGATTTATTTGTCAAGTCTTTATTTTCAAGGGCTGAATAATTTGGCATTACAATTATATACTTTATTTCCGGTTTCACCTTATCTTTCTAACAGAGGAATGACAGAATGTTAGATCAGAAAGAGAATTTGGAATTCAACTCAGTAACAAAATTTTGCATAAGAGAAAGTGAAAATCAAAAGAAATTAAACAGGCATTAATAATTAGTGACAGAACCAGTATTTCAGAGAGGAAGGCACTGTTCAAAGGCGAATGTTATGGGTTTGAGGTATTCAACTCTGAATTAACCACTTGGCTCTGGCTAAGACACTGATCTTTCCAGTTTTCAGTTTATTCACCTCTAATATAAAGAAGAAATTCAGGAAGGAAGGTGATGTTGTGATGATTAAACAAGTTAATATCTGAGAAAACATATATAATTGCATAGAGCTATATGACTGTAACTACTTATTCTTAGGATTCTTATTTGAGAAGTCTCGATGGTTTCTCTGATTCCAAAAGAAAACACTTAACCAAGACTCTGAATGACTAATGCCACAACTGACAGGTGTGAAGAGCCTTTCCTGTTTAAAAAGAAGCTTTGCAATTAACTTATTGAGTGCTCCTGCAAATACCTGCTAAGCAAACAACCACCCATTTGATTTCTATCTAGTCTCTCTTTTTTCATTCAGTTTAATTAGCCAACTTCAAGATTGTTAAATAGTACATGCTGTCTTGATTCTAACCTGCAAATAACAAGCTGTCATTTGTGAATTCCTTCCTGAAGTAAAGATAATTAGAAGGGCTCATTTTCTTGTGATTAATGTTTGGAAGAGAACTGGGACATAGAATATTTTTGATCTATTATTTTGTCATTCTAAAATAATGCTGACATTTGATTCTCATACTAAGTTATTCTGAACTCTTCTTAGCCATCAGACATCTAATGTGATGCAGCTTGTGCTAACATGTAAATGTTTAAGGATAATATTCAGAGTTTAAGTCTTACCGTTGCTTAGTGGTAGACAGTGGTAGTAAGGGGAAGAAAAAAGAAGGCAGGAAGGGAGTACCCTATGTCTACACTTTTTCTTATCTGCAGAATAAATTCATGTGTAAATTTTATACATGAATTTTATCTGCAGAAACTTTTTTTCTTGGGTCCCTAAAGTCAGGCAACCCTGGTCATCTAGATGTTGTTACAGCTATAACGTTTTCTTTCTTATTAAAGATAAGAACAATTGTACCTCACCAATGGAAGAGGCTCCTCCTTCATGCTGAACTCACTGTCACTTTTTATGTGACATATTTAACATTTTTACTTCTGCATGCAGCTACTTTGGTATCAAGTCCAAAACAAAGCCAAAGGGTTAATAATTCACAGCACCTCCAACTCTTCTGAAAGGTGTAGAGAATTGGTTTTAAATTAACGTATCTAATTTGTAGAAAATTTTCTGGAGAAAGTAATTTACTTCATTTAAATCGTTCTTCAGTTTTAATTCTTTGCTACAGAGGCAAAATTTTAGTATAATTTTCTGCCATCTGATAAACTTTCACTTATTTGCAGGTGGCTACAGTTTTTATAAGGCTTCTGATCTCATTTGAACATGAACTTGCCATGGTTCTTTGGCCAATATGGCTCCCATTTTATTCACTAATGTGCTTGTCTCCTCTTAGGTGCACATTAGTTTTCCCGTGTTTTTCTAAAAGTATGGAGGCTACAGACTCAGTATTTGAACCCCTTGACCTCATGTTACTCGTACATGAAATTACTGTTTCTATTTCTTTCTTTGCTGAGTCTCTTTCTAGAGTTCTTGTTGCTTTCTTGGCTTCTTCATTGCTCTTCTTTTCTACTGAATCTTCTTTCTTTTTGTTTTGTTATTCTCCTAGAACCTAGAAAAAATTACATTGAGTAGTTTTTCTAGCATGTATTTTTCAGTATGTTCCTGTTAATTGTTAACTACATTTTCAAAAAATAATCTATAGTGCTTATTTCCTGCTACTTTACTGTCATTCAATCCCTAAAGATAAACACCATTAATGGTTTGTTGTGTTTTCTTCCAGACATTATATATGTATATATTTATTTTTTCTTAGCCTTGATGTATTTATATATATGATATATTTATATAAATATATTTGTTTGTTTATTTATATTAAATAGATATATGCCAGATTTGTATTAGTCTGTTTTCACACTGCTGTAAAGACAAACCTGAGACCGAGACTGGGTAACTGACAAAGAAAAGAGGTTTAATTGGCTCATAGTTCTGTGGGCTATGCTTCTGGGGAGGCTTCTGCTTCTGCGGAGGCCTCAGTAAACCTACAATTATGGTGAAGGTGAAGGGGAATCAAACATGTCTTCACATGGCTGACAGGAGAGAGAGCAAGCAAAGGGGGAGGTGCTACAGACTTTCAAACAACCAGGTCTTATGAGAACTCTATCACAAGGGGGAAGTCTGCTCTCAAGATTCAATCACCTCCCACTGCTCTCAAGATTCAATCACCTCCCACCAGGCTCCTCCTCTAACACTGGGAATTGTAGTTCGACATGAGATATTAGTGGGGACACATAGCCAAACCGTATCAAGGCCCAAATTTTGTGTGTGTGTGTGTGTGTGTGTGTGTGTGTGTGTGTGTGTGTTTCTTTCTCTCTTTCTCTTCCTTCCTTCCTTCCTTCCTTCCTTCCTTCCTTCCTTCCTTCCTTCCTTCCTTCCTTCCTTCCTTCCTTCCCTCCTTCCTTCCTTCCTTCCTTCCCTCCTCCTCCTTCTTCGTCGTCTTCTTCTTCTTCTTCTCCTTCCTTCCTTCCTTCCTTCCTTCCTTCCTTCCTTCCTTCCTTCCTTCCTTTCTTCTTCTCTTCTTCCTTTCTTTCTTTCTTTCTTTCTCTTTCTTCCTTTCTTTTGAGACAGAGTCTCACTCTGTTACCAAGGTGGAGTGCAGTGGCGAGATCATGGCTCATTGTAGTTTCTACCTCTTGGGCTTGAGATCGTCCTGCTTCACCTTCCTGAGTAGCTGAAACAACAGATGCATGCTACCATGCCCAGCTAATTTTTCATTTTTTGTAAAGATGAAGTCTCACTAGGTCTCCCAGACTGGTCTCTAACTCCTAGGCTCAAGCATTCCTCCCCTAGGCCTCCCAAAGTTTACAGGAGTGACTAACCATGCCTGGCCCCCAATTTCAAATAAGAGCTTCTGGTTGTGCAATTATATAACTTTAATTTTTATACATGAATTTAATTTTTTATGGAACTTCCATTATTCTGATTACCCCTATTTTGGGAGATCAAATAGCATCAAGGAGATGGGGGTCAGCTCATCTGTGCCACTGTCATTTTTCTATACAGGCCCCTGCCTTCCACTGTTTGTTTGTTTGTGTCTTGGATCACCAGCATGGCTCTATCTGGTCATGTCTTCTCCCCAGTTTTTTGCCTTATACTTGAGCATTTGTTGTTGAACAAAAAAAGCCAAAACATTGATTTTTTAAAAAAAATCTTGTATATTTTTCTGCATTATCCTCTCCTAGAGACATAGAACTCACTAGCTGCTGCTAAATGACAGAAATGTCAGAGTATCAGCATGTATATGAAAAAATTCTATTTTCTTAATAACTATAAAAATATGTTAATTGAATGTTCAGTGGGAATTTGCTGTTTTTGTGGTATGTTGACTGAAGCCTGGAAGATGAGAATAATAGATTATAAAGTACCTGGACATTTTCAAGAGAGACAGAAAATCAAAGGGCTTGCTAAGAAGTGGCTAAATCAGCGTGTGGACATCCCCTCACCTACCACCCTTACCATCCAATCTATATAAACAGAAAACCAGAAATTTAAGATAATTTACTGAAAAAAAGGAATTTATACAAGTAAGGAATGCTTTGTTCTTTTCTCTTTTCTTCCCTATGCAGGTGTTGCCATTATTCCAGGGTAGATAGGAGGAGATACCAAGAAAATCACTTAGAGAAATTTGGGAAGATTCTTGCAAGGAAGCAAGGGCTTCTCACTATCCAGTTGGAGTCTTTTTGAGCTGCTGAGACTTAGGGCCATTTCTGAGGATGCAGGGATGGAGCACTGCAAAAGTTCTTGGAAGAGCTTGAAATGCATTCTTTGTGTCTGTGACCAGGAGCTGTAGGAAGAATATGTCAACAACAGTTTTTTCAGAAGTCCTGGAAGTGGTGGGTGGGAGGCAACACTGGAGCTGCTCAAGAGGCTGCAGACACACACACACACACACACACACACACACACACACACACCGAGAGAGAGAGAGAGAGAGAGAGAGAGAGAGAGAGAGAGAGAGAGAGAGAGAGAGAAACAGAAAGGGAAGTCACTTTCCCACAATTTTATAGAGCCGATAGGGCAAGGGGAAGCAGTTAGATTTGAGCTGCCCTAATGAGACACTGTTCCAGGTTGCCGCCTTCTCCAGAGAAGAGAGCCTAGGAGTGAGGAACTGTGAGGTGGGTAGGTCACTGGGTGCTGAGGCTAAGGGAAGAATCAAGAGAGCAGTCAGAGAGTACATCAGTCATGTAGGGAAACTATGAAATGATTCTTTTTCTCTAATCTCCATTCCTGTTGCACTGAGTGTGGTAGATTTACAAGTAGGGAAGGTGGAGTAAAAAATCAAGGGAAGGAAGGAAAGGGTGTGTGTGTGTGTGTGTGTGTGTGTGTGTGAGAGAGAGAGAGAGAGAGAGAGAGAGAGAGAGAGAGAGAGAGAGAGAGAGAGAAGAGAGAGAAAGCTGATTATGCTGACCTATTATCTTGTAGTTCTCCAGGTCCAGCTGTGAGCTTAGGTTGGATGAGGCTGGGGATAGTTTTGTTACATGAGGGAATGAAGGATAAAATTGGATTTGTCTGGACTTTGTAAGGCATGAAAATCCGTTGTGATTAATGAAATAAGATTTAACTGAAACGACCAGGAAGTTAAGGGTGCATCCTCAATAGATTATCCTGGGAGGGAGGATGAGAGGGTTTTGCTTTGAAGGCCGTGATGAAAAACAAAGTTATTTGCTATCACATTGAGAGAAACTCATTCCATGTGTTAGTTTTATATTTCTCTATCAGTTTTAATAAACATGTATGTGGAATTTTGAGTATTACTTAATAATAATTACACATGTAATTATATATAATTATTACATATTAATATATATAATACAATTATACATATATTAATTATATACATATTAATTATACATAATATTATATATTTGTATATAATTATGATATATAATATATATTTGTATATATTTGTATATTATATACATAATATATATTTGTATATAATTATATATAATTATATATATTATAATAATTTATTTTATTATACTAATTTTAAAGTATAATAATAAAATTACTTAAAAATTTGAAAGATATGGCAAATTGATTTTTTCAGAAGTTTCAAAAATGGTGTATATAAACCTGCTTTTTACGCTTTTATCCACATTGGATCTTATTCAACATTTTAATCTCTGTAGGCATCAAAAGAAAAACTATACAGTGCCTTTTTGCTGTTTTGACCCTAATTTTTTTGAACGAGTTGATCATATTTTTAAATATTGCCCATTTCTAAATAGTCAATGATTTAAGTAATACACAACAAGAAGTGGCTCATAAAAATTGAAGTGTGACAGACAAGACTAAATTCTTCTATGATTATGACCTCAAATCCTAGCCCATTTGCTATCCTTCTCTTTCCACACCCCTATCTCACCAAATATTCCCTGTGAGGATCACATCGAATTTTTTAGCCTACTTCTTCTGATGTTTTCCTTCATGTTTCTAAATGTTAGGCTTCTTACAGCTGTCTCTATTAAATTGTGCCGTTATCTTTTGACTTCTTTGCTAGTTGTTTTTGCCCATTGACACCATCTTCCTAATTATGACTTTACTATTGTCTGGTTTATTTATTGATTTCTGGCTTACATTGGTCTTCTTTCTCTCGTTACATTAGGTAGTAACTTAGATAATTAAATTTTTATCTTCTTTCTTCATATGCATTTAATGCTATAGATTTCCTTATGAGTACTGCTTTTGCTATATTCCACAAATTCTGATAAGTTGTATTTTAATTTTCTTTTACTTTAAAATATTTTAAAACTTACCTTGAGACTTCGTTGGCCCATGTATTATTGAGAAGTATGTTGCTTAATCTCCAAATATTCTGAGATTTTCCAGCCATCTGACGGTTATTGATCTCTAGCTTAATTCCAATGTGCTCTGAGAGCATATTTTGTATGATTTCTATTTTTTTAATTTGTTAAGATAAAGATTTTTTTTTTGAGACAGAGTCTTGCTCTGTCGCCAGGCACCAGGCTGGAGTGCAGTGGCACGATCTCGGCTCACTGCAACCTCTGCCTCCCAGGTTCAAGCAATTCTCCTGCCTCAGCCTCCCAGATAGCTGGGACTATGGGCCCATGCTACCACGCCCAGCTAATATTTTTTTATTTTTAGTAGAGACGGGGTTTCACCATGTTGGCCAAGATGGTCTCGATTTCTTGACCTCATGATCCGCCGGCTTCGGCCTCCCAAAGTGCTGGGATTACAGGCTTGAGCCACCGTGCTCACTGAAATGTGTGTTTTATAATACAGAAGGTGGTTGACCTTGGTGCATGTTACATGTGAGCTTGAGAAAAATGTATAATCTGCTGCTTTTGAATGAAACCGTCAATAAATGTCATTAAATCCAGTTGATTGATGGTGCCCAGTTGAAGTATATCCTTATTGAATTTCTCCCTGTTGGATCTTTCAATTATTGATTGAGGAAGCTCTTATTAATATCTGCCAGCTCCAGCTATAATCATGGATTTATCTATTTTTCCTTGAAGTTCTGTCAGTTTTTGCCTCACTCAGCTGTTTTTGATGCTTTTGTTAGATGCACACAAATTAAAAGTTGTTCTATCTTTTTGGAGAGTTTATTATATTATTATGTAATGTCCCTCCTTATTTCTGGAAAATTTCCTTGTTTTGAAGTCAGCTTGATTTGTGATTAGTATAGCTAACTCAGCTTTTGATTAGTGTTATGATGGTGTATTTTTCTTAACCCTTTACTGTTTATCTGTGAAGACATGTTTAAAATGGGTTTTTTTGTAGATAACATATAGTTGAGTCTTGTTTTATCAACCACCCTGATAGTCTTTTTAGTTGGTGAATGAGGATATTTACATTTTAAGTGGTCATTTATATCGTCACATTAATTCTACAATGTTTGTAACTTTTTTTTATTTGTTGCCTTTCTTCTTCTTCTTCTTTTTTTTTTTTTAAAAATCCCACATTTGATGCCTTATCTGTATTTTTCTTTATTGTGGTTAAAAAAAAGTATGAGATATGTCTTTTAAAGGTTTTTAAGTGTATAGTACAGTATTGTTAACTAAAAGCAGTTTCATACAGCAGATCTCTAGGACTTTCTCATCTTGCATAATTAAAACTATACTCATTGAATGCAACTCCCCATTTCTCTCAACCGCAGTCTATGGCAAATGTCATTCTACTCTGCTTCTATGAGGTTGACTGTTAATTTACTTAATTTAGAGATAAGGTCTTGCTATGTTGCTCAGGCGGGAGTACAGTGACTATTCACAGATGCAATTATATGGGACTACAGCTTCAAACGCTTGGCCTCAAACAATCCTCCCACCTCAGCCTCCTGAGGAGCCAGAACTACAGGCATGTACCACCATGTTCAGCAATTTTGACTATTTTGTATACCTCATATAATGGGAGTCATGTAGCATTTGTCCTTCTGTGACTAGCTTTACTTAGCAATAACATCCTTGAGGTTCATCCATGCTGTTGTATATGGCAAGATTTCCTTCCTTTTTAAACCTTGCTATAGCTTTGATATTTGCCCTCTTAAATTTTATGTTGAAATTCAATCCCTAATTTCAAAGGTGGATCCTAATGGAGGCAGCTCTTGTGGGAACTAATACAGTGAGAACTGACTCACTGCCCCCAGCCCACTACCAGGAAGGCATGCCCTTCACCATGCTAGCTCCCCTTCACCTTCCTCCATGACTGAAAATAGCCAGAGGCTCTCACCAGAAGCAGATGCTGGTGACATGCATCTTCTGCAGTCTGCAGAATTTTGATCCAAATGAATCTCTTTCCTTTATAAATTAACCAGCCTCAGGTATTCCCTTTGTAGCAACACAAAGTTATTAAGACAAGGCTGAATAATATCCCATTGTATATATATCATGTTTTCTGTATCCATTTATCCATAAATGGACAGTTAGGTTGATTATACATCTTCTTTTTGTTATTAAGACAGGATCTTGCTCTGTCATGTAGGCTAAAGTGCAATGGCATGAACATCGCTCATTGCAACCTCAAACTCCTGGGCTCAGGGGATCCTCCGGTTTCAGATTCCTGAATAACTGGGACTACTGGCACATGCAACCACATCTGACTAACTTTTATAAATATTTATTTTAGAGATGGAGTTGTGCCTTGCTGCCCAATTGGTCTTCAACTCTTGGGCTCAAGTGTCCCTCCTGACTTGGCCTCCCAAAAGCTGGGATTATAGGTATGAGCCACTGCACTTGGCTGCACATCTTCATTAGAGTGAATAATGCCACAATAAGCATGGAAGTGTAAATATCTTATCAAGATACTGATTTTAACTCTTTTGAATAAATACTTAGAAGTGGAATTGCTGGATCATATGATAGTTCTTTTTTAATTTTCTGGGGAGCTTCCATACAATTTGTAAGCATATTTTAGTGCATAGGGTTACAGTTTCTTCACCACGTCACTAAAATTTGTTATTTTCTGTTTTTTTGATAATGAACATTCCAACAGGTGTGAATTGCTATCTCACTGTTATTTTGATTTGCATTTTCCTGATGTTTAATAATACCAAGCACCCTTTTATATACTATTGCTCATTTGTATGTCTTTATACAAATGTTGGTTCAGGTTCTCAGGCCATTTTTAAATTGGGTTATTTGCTCTTTTTGCTATTGAGTTGTAGAAGTTTTATATATATATATATATATATATATATATATATATATATACACACACACACACACACACGCGTGCGTGCGCGCACACACACACACACTTACACTCACTTTAGACATTAACACCTTATCAGATATATGCTTTCTAAACATTTCTCCCATTCTATAGGTTGCTTTCACTCTGTTGTTTCCTTTGCTATGCAAAGCTCTTTCATTTTATGTAATTCCACTTATCTACTTTTGCTTTTGTTGCCTGTGCTTTTGATGTCATAACTAAGAAATGCTTGCCAAGGCCAATATAATGCAGCTCTTCCCCTATGCACACTTCTAGGAGTATTACACTTTCAGGTCTTATGTTTAGTCTTTAAGCCATTTTGAGTTGATTTTTTGCATGTGGTATAAAATAAATGTTCAATTTTTTCTTTGCATATGAATATTCAGTTTTCTCAACACCATTTGTTGAAGAGACTATTATTTCTCCATTGTCTATTCTTGGTACTCTTGTCAAAGATCTATTGGCCATATATGGATGAATTAATTTCTGGCCTTTCTAATCTCTTCAATTAGTTTCCATGGCTCTCTGTATGCCAGTTCCAGTTCCACACTCTTTTAATTACTGTAGCTTTGTAATATATTTTGAAATCTGAAAGTGAAATGCATCCAACTTTGTTCTTTTTTCTTAAGATTGCTTTGGCTATTCAGAGTTCTTTGTGGTTTCAAAGTGGTTTGAAGCCACCAGATGAGCATGAGTGTGAGTCACCATGCTCAGCAATCATGAATTTTGAGATTGTTATTTCTATTTCTGCAAAAAATGCCAAAGGGATTTTGACAGGGATTGAATCAAATCTGTAGATTGCTGTGGGTAATAGGGATATTTTGACAATATCAAGTCTTCTAATTCATGAACATAGATGTCTTGCTATTTATTTCTTCTTCTTTTTTAATTTCTTTCAGTGATGTTTTGTAGTTTTCAGTGTATACATTTTTTCTTCTCTGTTAAGTTTATTTCTTGGCATTTCATTTTTTTATGCTATTGTATATTGGATTGTTTCTTAATTTCCTTTTTAGGTATTTTGTTGTTAACATATGGAGACACAACTGAGTTTTGCATATTGATTTTGTATCCTGTGAATTTTATAAATTAACTTATTAGTTTTAAGAGGTTTTTATTTTAAAACAATATCTTTAGGGTTTTCTACTTATAAGATCATGTCACTTGTAAACAAAGATAGTTTTATTTCTACTTTTCTAATTTGGATGACTGTTATTTTCTTTTCTTGACTAACTGCTCTGGCTAGGGCTTCTGGTATTATGTTAAATAGAAGTGGTAAAGTGGGCATCCTTGCCTTGTTCTTAGAGGATCTTAGAGGAAAAGCTTTCAGTATTTTTACCATTGAGTTTGATGTTAGCTGTGGGATTTTTATATATGACCTTCACTATGTTGAGATAATTTCTATTCTTAATTTATTGAGTGTTTTTTTAAACATGAAAGCATGTTGAATTTTATCAAATATTTTTGATGTATCTATTGATATGATCATGCAATTAAAAAAAAAATTGAGATAGGGTCTCGCTCTGTTGCCCAGGCTGGAGTGTAATGGTGCAATCATGGTTTACTGCAGCCTCTACCTTCTGGGCTCAATTGATCCACCTGCGTCAGCCTCCTGAGTAAGTGGGACTACAAGCATGCAATGCCAGACCCAGCTAATTTTTGTATTTTTATAGAGATGGGTTTTTTCCATGTTGCCCAAGCTCATGTCAAACTTCTGGCCTCAAGCGGTCCATCTGCCTCAGCCTCCCAAAGTGCTAAGATT